CAATGGATGCAAACGGTACCGGACGTTTCGAAAACTAAGTTGGTTGATAGTTTGGATGCAATGAAAAAGGAAGTGTAGAATAATCCCACAGAAAAAGGTAGCAACCCTCCTGTGTCTACCGATAGAGCTACATCGCACCGTGTACCGGCACGCAAAAAAAAAACATGTGTCTCAAAAACATGTCCAACGACAAAAAATCCGCACACCACACAAAATTTTGACAAAAATATTAGCTCGCCCTCACCTCCTGTGCTGATGCGAGCATCCCTCGCACCGGTCTTCTCCAGAGTGGTCTCCACCGGCATCTCGTGCTGGACTGGCGTCTGGTCCATGTTGCCGAGTTCCTTGAAAACCTCCGCCTCCACAGACGCCAGCTGCTCGGAAGTCAGATCCTCTCCTTTGATGGGGCTCTCGTCAGGTGCCGGCGGGTGGCGCCGAGCGTAGATCTCACCGGCGCGCCTTACGAGAGCCTCGCGCAGCTTCATCACCGTCGCCCACGCCATACCCTCGTACCCCTTCGGCAGTTTTTGGCCCACACTAGTAAGCCGGCGGATGCTGAACCCATTCCGCTGGCGGAACCGTTGGTACCAGGAGTTGAATTTGACCTTGAAAGCCAGCGCCTCCTCCGGTTTCGCGTTCGCCGACATCCCGCCAAGGGCGTCAGGCTTCAACTCGAGCAGCTTGTTCATCACCTCCCGATTGCCACAACCGCGGTGCTGCTTGCGCTGCTCGTTGATGTAGTCCACAAGGGCTTGCTCGGCGTCGACTGTCGAAGCTTTCCCTCCGCTGTGAACCTGCTTGGCCTTTGAAAGCTTGGGGATGGCCCTGACCTTCTCCCTGAGCTGCTCCTCCTGCTTCAGCCACTCGATGATACGCTTCCGAGGCACCTGGAGAACTTCGCCGCGCCGTTGTTTCCCACCGGTTGACCGTCGCACGGGCAGATCTCCCGTGTTTAGGCCGCCGCGTTCAGTTTGAACCGGATGGGGTAGCTCCCTTTCGCTCCCACTGCTCCTGACCGCTCGATCGGGAAGTTGAGATCCGGGTACGCGCGTTTACCGTTGCTGTGTTGACGGGGTCGTTGGCGGCCAGCATCTCATCGATAGCCTCGCCGGTTGCCTTCGGGTCCGTAGCGGCAGCTCCCTGATCCGCAGAGGAAGGACCGCCAGCACTAGCCTGTGAGGCCTGTGAGGCCTGTGAGGCGTCGGCAGGTCCCGCGCTTGCACCCTCCGACATCGTAGCCGCGCGTTGTGTGTGGTCGAGCCCGCAGCTCCGTCCCGCGCATTTTCCCGATTTTCCGCCGGTATGTCTCCGCCACGGAACTGTTGTGGTGGTAATTCCCCGAAACTCGTTTGTGTGTGCAGCTACTAGCTTGTCTGTTGGTTGTGTTGTGATCGTGTTGCAGCAATACCATACACGCGAAGTGCTGCTATCACCTGTGGTTTTCAATGTTAGGATCGCACATATCGGGGTCTTGGAACAAGGGTGTTTGTTCGAAAGTTGCCGTACCAGCCGCTTTGGATTTAAACAGCACCGCACATATCGGGGTCTTGGCACAGGGGTGCGTTGTTTCTTAGAACCAAAATACTTACTGCTTTATTGTTTTTTCCGAAGTGTTATTTTATTGCTATTTTCCACGAAGTCTGGCCAATCACGATGGGACGACACCGGTCGCTTCCCTCTCTCCTCCAGAGTCCAAGTTACCCTTCCATGTCAACTGGCAGGCCCTAACAAAATGCCGTCTCAGCACACCGAGACCCCCAATGGTACTCCATACCATTGACATCCACCAACATCGACAATTGGTGGGATGACATTCTGTCCCCTTGCCCGCACCTTCGTGTATGCTAACCCTTCTTCTGCTCCGTCTTCTTCCCCTTCGCTAGTGTACGGGATACCATGTCTACGTCCACCATATTATTCCTAGTATATATTTTAAACGTACCCGAACCTTCCCTCCATCTACCCTCTCTGTGTATAATTCTGTCCGGTACGTCTCCTCCTGCAGCCAACGTGGTGGCGGCCCCGATTCTCTACGAATGCAAGCCAACCTGTCTCGGGTTTCCACCTGCCTTCTCCACAATCTGGCGAAGGGCGCTAAGAGCTTTGGAGTATCCCCAAACCTTAACCGTATTGCTCCTCTTACAGCGAAACGAGCGCAGAGGGGCGTCCTCAGGTAAAGCGAGATGGCACGCCATCACTTCCATCAACAACCCCACGGCACCGCCACCGGCTCCAATCTGAGAGCTCGCGCCTCGTGTAACATCGCGCACCCGTGTAACGCACGCCCCCGTCTCCGACTGATCCCCCTTGTGGCCGCGAAACAGAACCCGAACTCCTGTGGCCTTGTGCAACGGGGCGAGCACGTGCTCCCCATCAAAGAACTCGACGTCGCTAAGCCGCAAACAATGCACCTGGTGGCATTGTAATGACAGCGTGGCAAAAACCTCATCTGAACGCGCCACCAGGAAGTACGACAACGCCAAACACAGCCACAACACGCGGCCACCTGTACCCCACGACGCCGTCAACTGCTGTCCATCCAACAACGTCTCCCACGAGACGGGAACACGACTCCGACTCTCCGTACCCGCTCGAACGTGAACACGTGCGAGACCCAACAAACTCCGTTTGATAAGAGGCGCACCGGTAGGCAACTCAAGCTGCTTATCGACTCGATGAAAGTACTGTACCGCGGCGAGCTTGCCGGATATGGTCGGTGCAATGTTACCCTTATCTGCACAACACCACGCCACAAACTCCAAATGTGCTTGTTCCAGCCCAGCACCATCCAGCACCATCCACATCCCCCGAGAGGTACTCCGACTCGCCAATCATGCGGCGAAAAGCACACCAAGCCCGCCAACCCGACAGGTAAGTTCTTCGAGACGACTGCGCAACTGACTCGCGGACGTACTCGCCGCTAAGACGCCGGTACAAAGATCGGCGACCTCCGGGCTCAAGACCTGTTGGCGCCAGGCGACATTGGGACAGGACAGGCGAAGACGAGCGTCAATGGTCGCCGGCTCACATCGTGAAATACCATCTGCAATCGTGTTATCGACCCCCCGAACATGAGCCACCTCAAAACACCATCCGCTGCCCATCTCCAAACATCCTAGCATACGCATGAGTGCCCCCGATCGGGGCTCGCTCCCCCCCCGACACTTGTTCACCCACACCACACTCGAAGAGTTGTTTCCCATCATAGGGATGCTATTGCGGGCGCACTCTGGCGTCATGTCCGATTGTACAATGAACACCCAGGCGCCAACTACCATCGCGAGGAGTTTGAGCATGTTGATGCTCAACTCGTCGCGCCCCTCAGCCTGCTGGCGAAACCTCTCCCGTACTTCTTGACTAAATTCAAAACGCCACCACACTCCAAACGGAATTCGGCATGCAAGAAATACCCCCCCATCGCATCTCCAGATGCGTCCGACCACAAAAGACACGAACATGGTTGATCGAAAAAACATACAAGTGGGGCTGTTAACAACCGCGACGGCAATCCCAGGCCCCCTTCGACCATCAGACGCCAAAACCGCATGTCGGCATGAAACTCGGGACCGATCCGTTTCCGTGTCACCCCCCGGGCGGTCAATTGCAACGGCGGTAGCCCCAACTGGTTGAGCATGCGGCGAGCAAAATATTTACCAGGCCACACGACCTCACAGATATGCAACAACGAGCCATTCACCCCCCGCAACTTGGACTCGGAAGCAAAGCAGCGTGTGGGGGGCCACTCACGGATTGTCGCCCGCAGACGTTCCAGCTTGTCTGTGGGAACCGAAATGGTCATCGCCACCGTATCAATGTCCCACCCTAGCATACACAACCTTGTTAGCCACGAGGAAAGTTTACGTGGCGACAACAAGGGGGGGTCCCCTGACCCGCGCGCCCCGAACACCCGGAAATGGTCCGATGCACACGACGCGGAAGCTACTTTACACCGGGCCCCAGTCGGGCTCCACATCACTTCCACGAGAACACCATCGTCTACATAGAACCGCACGAAAAACGAGTCGGAACGACCGCCCCCCGAACCGGGGGGAATGCGACACCCAGGGGGGAATGGGGGTGGCGTCTCCCGTGCGCTAGGTAACGGAACCTCAACATGGTTCGTAGCCGTCCGGCCAAGCTCAGTGACAACTGCATTATCCTCAGACGTGTGATTGTGAGAGTGCTCCAACACGGCGGTCATGACACAAAAAATGCCGGGCGAATAGCGCCACCCAAACACCAAGCGCCGATCTACCACGACCAAGTCCCCAAGTGAGTAACCAAACACGGGAGCTCCCGACCATTGAAGCGCAACCTGCCGAAACGCGTCCGTAGCGTCAATTTTGCTCAACACAATCCGGGCCAATGGTCCGTACGTCCTCCGCAACCATACAATGCGCCACACAATGTCCCGCAACACGTGACCTAACTCGACCTTCGGCGCCGCTTCCGAACCCGTGTCGGCATTGACACTACGCGACACGGGTGAGCATTCAAACGTCAATTCATGGATAATCCGAATTCTCTCAGGCGACACAACCACACCTAGCGGCGACAGCCGCAACCCCGGGATCGATTCTGCCTCATTGGAAACACGAACTCCCGCCCGAACCGCACGTCATCAAACACGTTCCCGAGAATAGTGTCAGAATGTGGGGCTACACTACGGTGGATACCATACGATAGCGCTGCTGCAATTTCGGCAGACCCACACACGGGCACTACGGCGCCACGTTCCACAATAGCAGCAAACACCCGGAAATGGTCCGATGCACACGACGCGGAAGCTACTTTACACCGGGCCCCAGTCGGGCTCCACATCACTTCCACGAGAACACCATCGTCTACATAGAACCGCACGAAAAACGAGTCGGAACGACCGCCCCCCGAACCGGGGGGAATGCGACACCCAGGGGGGAATGGGGGTGGCGTCTCCCGTGCGCTAGGTAACGGAACCTCAACATGGTTCGTAGCCGTCCGGCCAAGCTCAGTGACAACTGCATTATCCTCAGACGTGTGATTGTGAGAGTGCTCCAACACGGCGGTCATGACACAAAAAATGCCGGGCGAATAGCGCCACCCAAACACCAAGCGCCGATCTACCACGACCAAGTCCCCAAGTGAGTAACCAAACACGGGAGCTCCCGACCATTGAAGCGCAACCTGCCGAAACGCGTCCGTAGCGTCAATTTTGCTCAACACAATCCGGGCCAATGGTCCGTACGTCCTCCGCAACCATACAATGCGCCACACAATGTCCCGCAACACGTGACCTAACTCGACCTTCGGCGCCGCTTCCGAACCCGTGTCGGCATTGACACTACGCGACACGGGTGAGCATTCAAACGTCAATTCATGGATAATCCGAATTCTCTCAGGCGACACAACCACACCTAGCGGCGACAGCCGCAACCCCGGGATCGATTCTGCCTCATTGGAAACACGAACTCCCGCCCGAACCGCACGTCATCAAACACGTTCCCGAGAATAGTGTCAGAATGTGGGGCTACACTACGGTGGATACCATACGATAGCGCTGCTGCAATTTCGGCAGACCCACACACGGGCACTACGGCGCCACGTTCCACAATAGCAGCGACAGTCTCTGTGTGAGGAAAACCCTTCGAGCGTCCAAACCAAAACCGAATAAATTCAGGCCGTACCCGCGGCACCCCGATGCCGTTTTCGATGGCTTGCATGCATTCAAAGCTTCCCCCATGCCGAGACAAAAACCGAAAGCACTTCACCGCGATCTGAGCAAGTACAATTGCACGTGGTGTGCCTTTCGCGACGGTCTGAGACATAGTATGCACCATTGACACAATACGCCTAACATCATTGCCATCTAAAGTACCAACCGCACCTCGGGTCAACGCAGTAGCCGCCCCTGGTCGCAGGAGGTGCGTGCTCGGGCCCGAAACCACGCCCCCCGCGACATCGAGGGGACGGCCCTCCCCCCCCCAGGGGGCAGGGCCCGCGCCCCTATTCTTCAGCATCGTCCTTCGCGCCGCCGCCGGCACCGCCCTTCGCACTGCTGCGAGTCATCGTCCCGGCCGTTGCCCCCTTGGCCCGCTTCGCTGGGGCGGCGGCGGCAGAGGCGTTGGTGTCGGCGGCGGTGGAGGGGCTACCTTTCGAGTCGCCATCCTCGGCGCCGCCGCCAGCCGCGCCCCCTCTTTTTCCTCCCTTTCCGCCGGCCTTCCGTGGCGCCACATGCGCGAACTTGCACTTCTTCCCCCACCGACAGTTACCGTCGTTCTGGAACTTGTAGCACACCCGTTGCTCCTTGGTTGCGCTGCCCGTCCCCCCGGCACCCGCTGCGGCGGCCGACGAACGGGCGGACTTGCCTTGCACAGCAGAATTGATCAGTCCTCCCAACCGGAGATACGCCGCGATGTTTGGGAAACCCGGGACGGGGGGAGGGGGGAGGCGAAAGAGCGTCCGACTGCGGAGGGAGAACGAAGCGCCGCTGCAACTCGTCCGCGAACATCTGCACGTCGCGCGTGTACACTTCCATGTCTTTGACGAGGAAACCCAAGAAGATGTCTTGGTTGTGCTGCGCTTGGATGGCCGCGTAATTCTCCCGAGCGTGCCGCGCCACGTCGTCGATGACCGCCTGGAAGGAGGCTTCGACACGATCCACCCGCGCTTGCGATGCCGCCTCCAACCTCGGTTTGTCGGGGATCCCCCGGCGAGCGATGGTGATAAAAGCCCCCGCCATGAGGGTCAAATGCGTTGAGATGGGGAGGCGGTCGCCAACCGCCCCCTGGGGCGTGAAGGCAGCGGGGTCAAAGCCACGAAAGTTCAAGAGCATGTCGGCTACCACGTCCGTGACCACAATACTATCAAGCATTGACCCTTGCAGGCTCGGCTTCTCTAGCTTCGGCGGAAAACATCTCATCACCACCCACCACATGCGACTGTTCGCCGAGCTCCAAGCGTTTACCCGCTGGTCCGAGATCACCTTATCCATCCGTTTCTGGGCATGCGACACCCCCGTTCCCATCCCGTATCCACCGGAGTCCATGCTAAGGCCTCCCGCTCCAAACGGGAACGAAATCGCGGGAGTGAAGCCTAAGCCGCCCCCACTGCCATACCGACCAGCGCCCTGCAGCAACCCGGGACTCGACTCCACGCGGTGTAACCCGTAGCCGGCCGAGGAACCAGCCGCACTCGCGCCCCCAAACATGGGCGCCGGCGCCACCCCGGCAGCTGCACTCGTGCCCCCATACATGAGCGCTGGTGCAACTCCGGCAGCGTCACCAGCGGCGGCCCCGCCGCCCCGAGCACGTACAGCTTCCAGCACCTCCGCGAACCTCGCCGCCATGTCGGCCTTTAGGTCCTCCACCGAGGCGCTGATGACGGCCAGCTCATTAGCGCGGTCCTGCCGCTCCGCCTCATACTCTTCGCGGGCAATCACAGACTCGTCGGAGGTGTTCTCGTCCCCGCTCATATCTCCGCCCCCGGCCGACGTGCCGCCGATGCACCGATCAATCTCCTCATCACAAGGAACAAAGGCGAGAATATATATATAGGGAACGTAAGAACGACAACACGGCACCGAATGCACCTGCCACCCGGCACGCAGCGTAGTCGTCTCATCGCTCGTGTTTCAACCAGCGCAGGCGGATCTCGCATTCCCCGAAGCATTTCACACCGAGTGATACGCAGCGCCATGTACACCAGTACAGCATGCGTGAATGCCACTTAAACCGCCAACAGGCATCACTGACTCCGCTAGTGTGCAACCTCCAATTCCCACACCGGTGGGAACCAGGCACCACCGGATGGAATGCCTATGCTTTTTCGTGCATTCCGCGTTTGCAAGCCTTCTGTGTTTTGGCTCTGGCCCCCCGTACCAGCGCCAGCACGAAAGCCATCACATTGGTGCGCCACGGGAGAGCGATATAAAAGCTACATAAAAGCTACACACACCGTCATGCAACAATTTGCTCGTTCGGTGGTTTCCAGAAGGAAGGCTCTAGCGTAACCAGCGGTATACATAGTGTGGCACCATAACCACCTGTATATATCGCGTTGTGTCTTTGTGCCTCTCGACCGATTATTCCATGCCAACGACCCATAGTCGTACGTGCAAACCGGTTCGAGTAACATTCAGTAGCTATGCGGATGTACATAACGATCGCATACAGTATCCCAGCCGCACGAGCGACCTACACGCCACGCAACTTGTGTGCGGCTCCTGACCACCACGGCTCATCGCCAGATGAACCGCATCAGAAGGCTCTAGCGTAACCAGCGGTATATATTGTGTAGTACCATAACCACCTGTATATATCGCGTTGTGTCTTTTGCTTTCTCTATCGATTATTCCGTGCCAACGACCCACAGTCGTACGTGCAAACCGGTTCGAGTAACATTCAGTATGCGTGAGAATACCCTTACTCCGTTGTGAGTAAAGGTCTCTGAAAAGGTGAATAACCGTTCACCGACGGGGGTAATTTCGCTCTTATTGCAATGTGGCAAGGAATGGCCAAGCATGGCTGACGTTAGTCAGCCTTGCTAGGGTGGAAGGTGAGAGTGAGCTTTTGGGCTCGCTTCTACCCTCCGGCTGGTCACAGCAGACGGAGGGTCTTCTCGTTGTAAAGATCTTCAGACCACGAAAACGTCGTTCCTGGGGTCACCGGATCAGTTCGCGGGTCAGGAGCGTTTTCCGCTGCCTGAGCCTTTTGTTTTTTCTTGCCCTTCTTTTTCTGGCCCGCAGTGAGGACCGGGGTGAACTCGTCCTCACTAGCGGCCACAGGGTCAGGGGAGTTTGTCCCCTTCTTCTCTCTCGGGTATTTTACGCCAGACATCGTTTTCTGTACTGGTGTACCCGCGAATAGACTTTCGTCGAACGCCAAAATGAGAATACCCTTACTCCGTTGTGAGTAAAGATCCCTGAAAAGGTGAATAACCGTTCACCGACGGAGGTAATTTCGTTCTTATTGCAATGTGGCAAGGAATGGCCAAGCGTGGCTGACGTTAGTCAGCCTTGCTAGGGTGGAAGGTGAGAGTGAGCGTTTGGGCTCGCTTCTACCCTCCGGCTGGTCACAGCAGGCGGAGGGTCTTCTCGTTGTAAAGATCTTCAGACCACGAGAACGTCGTTCCTGAAGTCACCGGATCTCTACCGTTGTATGTGCGTCCATACTACTGGGAAGATACCTATATCCTGGTTTCCACATGCGTATGTATCGTAACGGCCGCAAACAGTATCCCAGTCGCACCAGCGACCTACACGCCACGCAACTTGTGTGCGGCTCCTGACCACCACGGCTCATCTCCAGATGACCCGCATCAGAAGGTTCTAGCGTAACCAGCGGTATATACAGTGTGGTACCTAACCACCTGTATATACGTATGCAGCGAATGCATTCATTAATCAAGATGTAGGACTCATTAGACGAATCGTGATATAATATATATATAATATATATATAATCGCGTTGTGTCTTTTTGCCTCTCTGCCGACTATTCCGTGCCAACGACCCCTAGTAGTCGTACGTACAAACCGGTTCGAGTAACATTCAGTATGCAATGTATAATAACGACCGCATAATGTATCCCAGGCGCACCAGCGACCTACACGCCACGCAACTTGTGTGCGGCTCCTGACCACCACGGCTCATCTCCAGNATAATAACGACCGCATAATGTATCCCAGGCGCACCAGCGACCTACACGCCACGCAACTTGTGTGCGGCTCCTGACCACCACGGCTCATCTCCAGGTGACCCGTACCCTGGTCTACAGTCAATAACCGTGAGCTGGCACCATACGCACCAGCGTACTAGCTCGCTCTATATCGATTCGTTGTATGTTTCTGCCTGCCGTGCCACCGATTTTTCCATAC